AAAAGTAACAATTCGTCTGTCCCTGAGTAAACAATTCTGTGGCCCTAACTACATTTCTTTGGCCCAAAGTAACGTTCTGGGGCCCCTCATTAACAATTCTTGTCTGAGTAATGTTCTCTGGTCCATAAGTAACGTTTCTCTGTCCCCAAGTTTACGTTTCTGTGGCCCTAACTCTGTCCTATTACAGATCGGTCTGCCTCTCTTGAAGGACTGGAGGCTAATGGAGAATTCTAAAAATGGGCCGCTATTTCTATAAGCTTCGGCATAACACAGTGCTGGCTGCCTGGCACTGCTGATTGGCTATGCGATAAACATGGCATTAATGGGATTGCATTATGGGTCAGGCGCCGCACTTGTCTGCAGCGCCTTACCAGACAGCCCGCTCACGTCGCCGCACATGATCGCCGACATTTTAGGAAAAAATTTTCAATATCGCGCATCGCTGTAGTTCCACTGTCGCCTACTTACGATTCGATTATGGCTGATATTATCAACAAGATTTAAATGTTGACGATATTATCGGAATACTCCACTACGTACTGTAATATGTCATCTTCCTAGTTACTAGTTAATCTGGCCGAAAAGTCAAAGCCAGGTCCATGAGTTCAACCATGTGAGCAAGAAACTTGGATTATGAATTAGGAATGAGGGACCTGGGAAGAAGATTCAGTGAAATGAAGTGATGTCGGATTGCCAGTTCGCGAGGGTCTTAAGCGTGAGGATTTGCAACAGGGAAATTCCATGTCGATAATGTAGTTATTCGCTGCGACTTTATACTTCAATTAAGGGTATTTACCACATATTACTAGGATACTTATGGGCACACCGATTAGTCTCAGCGACACTGTACTTTAATTTAATGCCTTGGAGTCTGTGGGGACGAGAATTAATACTGTCCGTCAGTATGACATGCAGGATGATGCCGTCGAAATCTTTTTTTTTGGGCAACCATACATGGATAAAAATTCCCTCTGCTTCATGGGGGGGCACAGGGGACCGGGTTGAATTCCCATCCTGATTGGCGGGTGGTTTTACAGAAATCGATGTCCCATTGACGATCGACTTCTGTAAATAGTCTAGGAAAGCTTCTGCTGATCAGCCCCGATCATGTATTCTGGTGACTTTGAAGTCTCTTCACTTTCAGAACCATACCCGCAGGATGTTTTCCCCCACCACACGAATTGTGATAAGAGAATAAGTCTTTTTTTTTTCCAACCCACTGTTAAACAAAAAAAAAATGACTAATGTATAGGCTGCTGTACAAATTTTTTCCCTTAAGAAAAACTTCATTAAAACCAGTACAAGGGTCAGAAGTAAGTAAAAAAAAAACAAGGAGGTAAAGTCAGGATGAGCATAGTTGGGTGTATAATACTGCCACTGTGAAATTTTGTGGCCGGGGGAAAAATAATATCCTCTTTTGCATTCGTGGGCACATGAATGAAAAGACGAAGAATGAAAGAAAGAAGAATTGAAGAAGAATGAGAGAATGAAAGAAGAATGAATGAAGAAGAAGGAGGGTGATGAAGAGAGGAGAAGAATTAGAGAAATGGAAGAAGAATGGAGAGAATGAAAGAAGAAAGAGAGAAGAATGAAAAGAATGAAAAGAGAAGAAGAAGAATGAAAGAGAAGAGAAAGAAGAATGAGGGGTAGAAAGAAGAAGAATGAGGGAGAAGGTATGGGAGGAGGGATGAATGAAAAGAAGGAGGAGGAAGAGGAAGGGAAGATGGAAAAGGGAGAAGTCAGGGAAGGAAGGGATGGGATGAAGCGGAGGGGGGACTGGATGTTAGAAGGAGGGGAAGGGGTACGGGATGGAAGAGAGAAAAGGGGATGGAAGGAAGGGAAGGAGTAAGGATGGGGTGGAGGAGGGGTTCAAGGAAGTGAGAAGTACGATGGAGGCAGACTGATAGAGGAAGGGGCTTCAGATGGACAAATGAAGTGGGGAGAAGGAGGGAGATCGGGGAGAGGAAGGAGGGAGATGGAGGAGAAAAGAAAAGGAGGGAGATGGGAGGAGGAGAGAAGAGAAGGAATGGAGATGGAGGGATGAAAGAATTAGGGGGGAGATGGGGGGAAGAGAAGGAGGGAGATGGAGGACGTCGAGAAGGAGGGAGATGGAGGGGATAGAGAAGAAGGTGGGAGATAGAGGTGGAAGAGAAGGAGGGAGATGGAGGGATGAAAGAAGAAGGAGGGGAGATGAAAGGGGGGGGGGGAAGAAGGAGGGAGATGGGGGAGGAAGGGGAGGGAGATGGAGGGGGAGATGGAAGGGAGAGAGAAAAAGTAGGGAGAGAAGAAGGAGGGATTTGGAGGTGGGAGAGAAGGAGGGGGGGAGATGGAGGGGGAGAGAAGGGGGAGATGGAGGTGAGGGGAGGGGAGGGGGGAAGGATGGAGATGAAGGGGGAGAGAAGGAGGGAGAAGGGGAGAGTTCAGCTGTAGTGCAGAGCTCAGCTTACTCACTTGGGCTGGTCTCTGCAGGCTCAGGCAGAGGAATCAATCTTGCAGCCACTATGTAGTTGTAGGCTGCAGTGCTTGAAATTTCCCACCCACTCACACATCTCAGGTTCAGCACTGGTTAGGAGTTGGAGTGTGGGCGGGGCAGACAGGAGGAGAGAGGCGGGAGGAGGCAGTGTACATTGATCCCCCCTTTCCTGTTCATTCAGGGAAGCAGAGGGGAAACGTGCTGTCTGGGCTATGTGAGCAGCTGCAGACAGCTTCTCTTGGATAAAGTCCACCTGGGAGGGTACAGCTGATATTCAGGGGGGGCATAGCCCACCCCAGAACCCCCCTAGATCCGGCCATGGGTGGCAACCTACCATGGTACCCCGCTGGAATTCACTGAGTTCCTGAGAGCAAACCATTCTTTCACAAATGTTTTCAGAAGCAGTCTGCATGCCTAGATGCTTTATTGTATACACCAGTGGCCATGGAGGTGATTGGAACACCCGAATCCAATGATTTAAAGGGGTGTCCCAGTAGTACGTTTGGCACATAGTGTATTTTGCCAGTTTTTGAATATTTCCTTCTTTCATCCCAAGCAATAGACTGAAAAACACTGAAGCGAGTGATGCCTCAAAACAGCCAAGCAACTAGCATTTTCAGAAGGAGGTCAGTGATGGGAAGAATTCATAATTGTGCTAGATTTAATTTAAATATCTTTGTTCATCGTTTGTACACCATTTAATGTATTCTTTAATGTAAGGCAGTGTGTCAAAATGTAAACTTGGCATCAGCCTTTTGCAGTCTCTGTACAGCATTTAAACTGTAGAGGATAATTAGCTCACCAGCTGAGCATAGCCCTGTATGGAAAGACATTGTTTGGTCATGCTGTGTGACAGAGCTTTGTAAATCTCAGAAATGGTTGAGCAGAAATATAAATCCTTTGGCAATTAGGCCTCATTTACATGATGCGTTTTAATTTGTGCCTTGTTCAGGGCCATGTTTACCGCCATGGGGATGCACAGGTGTTGCATATAACCCCATGCCGGAAGGCCCTGCTCCCAATGTAACATCTGTGTGGGTTCTGGTCCATTCACTCACACCTGCATGTCAAATTGGGAGCAGTGGCTGTGGACTGCCAGCACGTGGATGCAAGCAACACCTATGTATCCCCGTGCCCATAACACATGTCCCTGCATGGGGCACGGATTAAAATTCTCTAGGTGAATGAGGCCCTAATTCAGCTCCCATGTATGTATTTTAAATGTGTATTTAACTTTAATATTTATGTACAACAGGGATGCTCAACTTGTGGCTCTCAGAGCCCTCTGAAGTGGCCCTTGACATTGAACTGAATGCAGGAGTTTTGGTGCGCTTTCAGGAAGTGCACCACAACTGCAAGATATGATAAAAGTCTATGGCAAAGCACAGCTAACCCACAGGAAAGCCACAGGTGCACTGCACTGAACCCAAGGTGAGGGTAAAAAGTAGCCTTATAGGGGCTCAGGACAATATGACTGTGGTTTTTGGGGGGCAGTAGAAACCCCATTTGTTGAGACATGTTTTTACTACACCCACCAACCACTGGTGTAGTGTCACGGGTTGCAATGTGACCTCACCCCATGCTCCAGGGGGTCCATCTGGCCTCCCTGTCACATTCTGTTTTACACTTGGAAAGGAGGGGCGGCATATACAGGAACTGATCCTCTCCATTTTTGGTTTGCAACTGCTGAATGTTGGCTTCTCCTCCTCTCTCCCTCCCTCCGGCATTTAGCTGCTGCAGAAGAAAAATGTTCATTATGCTTATCAAAAAAATTCAAAATTCTGAATAATTTCATTTCATTGTGGCCCAAGACCATATAAGCGGCCTTCGCTCTTCAAAAGGTTGATCACCCCTAATGTACAACCTTCAAATTTAGGCAAACTGCTAAAATTGAGATAAAAATAACTAGTATTGTTTTAACTAATGTATATCTTTTTCTCAATTTTTTTCTAGCTCGGACCCCTAGAAACATGAATAAGCATCTCTTGTACAGCATAGTAGTTACTTTTGTTCTTCTGGTCATTGTGATCCTTTCCTATTTATACCATGTCAAACTTGACATCACTGTGTTTACGAACATTGTGCCCAAAAAAGTGGAACCAGTCACTGAGAAGCCACGGACTATAGAGGAACCAAAACCTCTGACCGGGATGTGGACTGTCAATGCCATTGGCCGGCTAGGTAATCTAATGGGAGAGTATGCCACACTTTATTCCCTTGCCAAAATGAATGGTCGACAAGCCTATATCTTGCCAGGGATGCACAGCCAGCTGTCAAGGATCTTTAAAATAAGATTGCCAGTACTTCACCAGGAAGTAGCTAACCGCCTCAAATGGAGGAATTACGGACTTCATGACTGGATGTCTGAGGAGTACCGACATATTGAAGCAGAATATATTCATCTCAGTGGCTACCCATGTTCTTTTACATTTTACAACCACATAAAAGATGAGATTCTCAGAGAATTTACATTCCATGACTTTATTAAAGAAGAGTCTTATGCATATCTGAACAATGTGCGCGGTGCCAAAAAAAATGTGACTTTTGTAGGTATACATGTCCGACGAGGAGACTATGTTCATGTTATGCCCAACACATGGAAAGGGGTGGTTGCTGATAAAGGATATCTGCAAAAAGCCATGGACTATTTCAGAAAGAAGTATGAAAACCCACTATTTATTGTAACCAGTAATGGGATGGACTGGTGTAAGGAAAACATTAATAATTCACTGGAAGATGTTCACTTTGCTGGAGATGGTCAAGAAGGATCCCCGGGACGGGACTTTGCCCTTCTGTCACATTGCAACCACACCATCATGACTATAGGGACCTTTGGTATTTGGGTGGGCTATCTGGTAGGTGGTGAAAACCATCTATTTAACAAACTACACACTGCCTGACTCTCCTTTTCTTAAACTTTTTAAATATGAAGCCGCTTTCCTTCCAGATTGGATTGGGATTCCTGCAGACCTCTCTCCACTTCTAAATAAAAATCCATAATGGTAACTCGGCAATTTAAACAGAATGTCAGAAGTATTTGATTAGGATCTATTCCTCCTGTGGAGATGTTGCTGCATTTCATACAATGCAAAACAAGATTCATTGCATAATTTTTTTGCACTGCTATATATTTATGAACTTTAGAATAAATAAAAGTTGAGCTTTTATCTATAGTACCTATCTACATTTTCTGTTCAAATTACACAATATGGTTTAGAAATTAAAACCTAACTATCCAGTGTTATCTAAAAGTGTATACTGAGATTAACCACTTGCCCTTCTGAGGATTTACCCCCCTTCCTGACCAGGCCATCATGCAGCGCTGCACCCAAATTAAATTTACGTCCTTTTTTTCCCACCAATTGAGCTTTTTTTTGTGGTATTTGATCGCCTGCTGTTTTTTTATTTTTTCCGCTATAAAAAAAAAGACCTACAATTTTGAGAAAAAAAAAAAAACAATATTTTCGACTTGACTTGCTTGCTATTAAACATGTCCAGTAAAAAAATTTTAAAAATCAAATTTCGTCATAAATATAGGCCAAAATGTATTCTGCTATGTCTTTGCTAAAAAAAAAATACCAATGTGTGTAAATTAATTGGTTTACGTAAAAGTTATAGCATTTACAAATGGCGGTATAGATACTGGAATTTTTTGTCCTACTAGTAATGGCGGCAATCAGCGACTTATAGCAGGACTGTGGGACTGTGGCGGACTATCTGACACTGGGGGGAACTGACTTGGTGTCATTAACATCCCCAGTGACACCAATACAGTGATCAGTGCTAAAAAAAAAGCACTGACACTGTACTAATGGCACTGGGCAGGAAGGGGTTAACATTAGGGGCGATCAAAGGGTTAACTGTGTGCTGGGAGTGTTTTACTAGGGGGCGGGGTGTGTGTGCTTCACTGTAAGCACACTGCTCTGGATGGCTGTGCTGTGCACAGCCATCCAGATCAGTGTGCCCGAGCTGACAGCGAGGAAGACTGTTAGTAAACAAGACAGTCCCCTTCCCCATTAGAGATGCTCGGTAGTCACCGGGTGCTGGCGGGTAATCACACGTTTACCTTTGCGCACCCGTGCCACCCTGTAGCAGTATTTCTGCTATAGGGCGCTCGGGAAGTGGTTAAACAGCCTTAGAGCATATGCAAGTATCGGCTTTCTGAATATTAAAGTATAGACTTGACCTGCTCTTTCACATCTCATAAGAATTAAAGTAATTCTAAACCTAATTTCTTTCTTTAAAATAATAAACACAGAGCTGCACAGAGCTCTGCTGCCCTGATCCTCCTCTTCTGGGGTCCCCCTCTGGCTCTCCTGGCTGTTCCCCCCTGCTGAGTGCTCTCTTAGCAAGCTGCTTGCTATTGGGGCAATCATGCAGGCTTGCTGCTGAGCCAGCTCTGTGTATCCATTGACACACAGCGTGTGGCTCAGCCTGCCCTCTGCTCCCTCCTCAAAGGCTGTGATTGACAGCAGTGGGAGTCAATAGCTCCCGCTGCAGTCTCTGAGCCAGTGAGGATGGAGAGAGCAGAGAGAGCCTCTGATCTTGTGCACAGCGCTGGATTGAGATTGGGTTTATGTAACCAAAAGGGAGGGCTGAGGGGGAGGGGGGAAGCTGTACGCAGAAGGTTTTTTCCCTTAATGCAGAAAATGCAGTAAGGTAAAAAAAAACATTCTGCCTTTAGAATCACTTTAATAGGTCACTAAAGCCTCAGCTTTGCATTAATATTTGTGGATTGGGCTTGCCTATGCGCTGCAGGATTCAGGATTGCAAAGGCAGTTTGAGTGGCCTGGAGGTGCTCATCTTTTACTTAAAATAAAATGATATTGTGATGCGGTACATGTTCTATTTTTTATTGCAGTCAGGATTAAAAATAAGAATTATTTTAAGAAATGTATATTTCTATATTTTTTTAATTGGGTGAGTATGCTTTGGCATGCATTTAAAGTGTCATTAAACCCATATCATAAAACTATTAATAAATGCTGTATTACATGCTATTTATACTCAGTCACTATGGGATTCATTTTCTATGTTTTCTGTATTCTGCAAAAAACCTGGTTGATCCTGCTGTTCTCTTTCTCCCCTTTACTGTATGTCTATGTACCCAGTGCAGCTAGAGATTTTGCAAAGCAGTGTTTGCAGCTACTAAACATAAGTCAATAAATAGTGTCAGCTCTCAGTGATAAAGATTAGCTGCTAGCAAAAAATGTTCATACATAAATAAACACCAAAATAATACATAAATACATTTGTTTTCAGCGCTAATCAACAACTTAACTAAAAACCAACACCTGCGTCAAGTGTGTTAATCAAAAAAGGAATAAAACAGTCCAACAATATCAAATATTTAAGGACCGTCTTCTCTTCTATATCTTTTCTTCATATAGTGACTTGGATAGTGCTTGACCTCCACCTTAAATAAAAATGCACACTCATCAGACACAATTGCTGTCTAAATAAATAGAACAGCAAACAACGCTTTGTTTGACAATGATGCTCTTCTCCACGAAAAGGTGCTCCAAACGAGTCAGTCTCTCTTCACCACTCTCTTAGCCCATTGAGACCATAGAAGACCATCAACAATAAAAAAGGTCTTATAGTGTAGTAATTTTATTCAAAATGGATATCCACAACCAATAACCTAACGAACATAAGTTAAAACATCTGACCAAAAGGACTTCACATACATGTTTAGCATGAGCATGGAGGCAAGACCTCTGGCGTGTCAAATACAATCTCTCTCTACAGCTGTTTCGCACAAATGTGCATCATTGAGAGCAAACTTAGAGTTAAGCATCCTCAACTTAAATAGTCCACCTTTGTCCACCTGTAATCAATACGCTAAAATTGTGCATTCCTATGGATGTCACTTCCTAAAATTGCATTCCGGATGTCCCGGAACCAGCGTCGTCTTAGTGATGTCATTTCCAAAGATGTGGAACGCACCATACTGACTTCTGGTATCCGTGCCATTTTAACGGCGTCTTATCCAGTCCAGCGCCATGATAAAGAAGACTGGAAAAATTCCATAGGTGTAAAGACAAATGTATACATCAAAGGAAAATGTATACACATAATTAATTATATATTAAATATAAAAGGTATAAAAAAATCCTTGATTACCAAATGGACTACCTAGTACAATCTATGGACATAATAAATAAAACAAAAAAGAGTGGTAAAAAATACATTTTAAATAAAAAGTAATGAATAATAAATGATGCAGAGAAAAAATTAAAATGAGAAATTACATATACAAGAAAAACTTTAACTAGTGTCTATAAAATAATTGACATCCCAGTCAATGTTCAGCCACAGAGAGGAAAAAGATTGTAATTCATAAATTAACTTCATTTCTAACTTAGAGACCTCTCTCATTCGATCACAACCTCTCCAATGTGGATTAAGTTTATCTATTGCCCTAAATTTCAAACCCTTCGGGTCTCTATTTTGACATGTATGAAAATGTGCTGAAAGACTATGATTTTTAAAACCTTTAATGTTGTAAACATGCTCTTTTAATCTATGTCTTAACCTTCTAGTAGTTCTTCCCACATATTGTTTGTGGCAAGGACATTCTAACAAATATACTATGTACCTAGTTTCACAAGAAATACATTTTTCGATCTGATATTTCTTAGTAGTGATGGTTGAAGAAAAATTAATAATTTTCTTCTTCCTAATACATAGTTAGTCTGGCTGAAAAAAAGATAAAAGTCCATCCACTTTGCATATAACACACTTATTGCAAGGATAAAAAAAACCTATTAATTCCTTAAAAAACAAGACCTTTTGCAGAGGATTAATAATATTGGGGGCTAAAACGATCTCTCCAATTCGGTGCCCTCCTAAAAACAATTTCTGGTTTATCTGGCAATACTTTACTTAAGACAGGATCTGTTTTTAATATACTCCACCTATTTTGCATATTTTTTCTAATTTGAGAATATTGTGTTGAAAAATTAGTAATCAAAGGACAGAATAATTTACTTTCACCTCTGTATCTAGTATTCAGGACCAATAATGAGTCTCTACCTATGTCAGCAACGTCTGATTCAGGGTATCTGGATTATAACCCTTCTCAAAAACCCTCTCCTTTAATATTAATGACTGTTCCACGAAATCATCATGATCTCTGCAATTCCACATCATTCTTAAAAATTGTCGTTTGGGGACATTTTTAAGCCATGACGGATGATGACAGCTGTTTAAGGGAATGTACAGTTGCAAGAAAAAGTATGTGAACCCCTTGGGATTACGTGGAGTTTTGCATGAATTGGGCATAAAATGTGCTCTGAACGTCATCTAAGTCACAACAATAGAAGAACACAGTCTGCTGAACATAATACTACACAAACATTAGATGTTGCCATGGTTTAATTGCACATAGCATGTAAACATTCACAGTGCAGGGAGGAAAAAGTATGTGAACCTTTGGACTTAATAACTGGTTGACCCTCCTTTGGCAGCAATAACCTCAACCAAACGTTTCCTGTAGTTGCAGATCAGACCTGCACAACGATCTGGAGTAATTTTGGACCACTCCTCTTCACAAAACTGTTTCAGTGTAGCAATATTCTTGGGATGTCTGGTGTGAATCACTCTTTTAAGGTCATGCCACAGCATTTCAATCGGGTTGAGGTCAGGACTCTGACTGGGCCACTCCAGAAGGCGTATTCTGTGCTGTTGCAGCTATTGTTTTGTTGAATTACTTGTATGTTTTGGGTCATTGTCCTGTTGCATCACCCATCCTCTGCGGAGCTTCAGTTGGCAGACAGATGGTCGTACGTTTTCCTACAAAATGTCTTGATAAACTCTGGAATTCATTTTCCCATCAATGACAACAATCCGTCCAGGCCCTGAGGCAGCAAAGCAGCCCCAAACCAGGATGCTCCCT